GCCAAACAGTCCCTAACTCTAAATCTTAATTTGAACACATATTTTAGGACCTACTTGATAATACCTATCCATAGGCATGCTATTGCTACACCTTTTTCTGAGTTATAAAAAATTTCGTACTCGTATTTGGTTCTTTTTGAAATTTATGGTATCTATATTTTTCAATGTATATAAAAATGAAATTTGGTATTCGTTTGATATTTGCATAATCCATAAACGACACATTTCAATCGTTCTGCTCCAGTGACCCTAAAACTTTATTATCAAGAAAATGATTCAATTACTGAGCTAAAGATCGTAGTTCTCCAACGAGCAACTAAAAGATCTATGAGAGTTCTTTCATGAATCCGAAAAGAATTTCTCTTTGGAGAGTACAATACGATGAGATCTAGTACGGGCGCTTGTTTGATCCATAAGGAACAAGATCAAATGAACGCTTATTCTCTTTTTCGAATCTGATAACGTCGTTACATTCTATGTAAATCGCTAAGTCCATATATATATATATATATATATATTGTATAACTTATAAATCCATTTGAACACTAAAATTAATAAAAACGATATATTTAATATCAAATCAATCTTATAAATAAAACTGTCAGTTTTCAAATCTAAAAGTTTCATAATGATATTCAATGAGATTTTCTTTAAATCAGTTATTTGGATTAAAAATTGAAATTAGTCAATCATGTTTTTTTTTTTGCTTTGGGAAGACTACTAATAAATTTTCTCTGAAATTAGGATTTATTTTAGTTATTTTAGTTACATAAAACATACACCATACAAACATATTGCAATGATGTATTTTACGGAGTGATATGTGCAGTTTGGATAATTCTCAGACCTCATACGCGGTTGGGTTTGCAGGTTTTTGGATCAAAACCAAATCTCGCCGCAACGAACACCCTGAGTCTTATCATAGATATCAAAATTAGCTTTTAAGAGATGATACCCGTAACAAGAATACAATCAAAATGCCTTCAACTTCTTGCCATTCAAGTTAAAAAATGAACTCCAACACTTAATGGGTAAATTGATTTTGTAACAACTTGGTTCAATACTTATTGCCATAAAATTAATATTATATTTTAATAAAACAAGAAAAATGTACTAAGTATTAAAAAGTACAACCTTTAACTTTGAAAACTGATAAAATGACCATCATACCATATATATATATATATATGGGGTTGGGTTCACGTGAGACCAAGGGTTTTTCATGAGACCCGTAAGACYAATTTATGTTCATTGATCAAATTTATGAATTAATGATCTAATGGTTGCAAAGTTGCAAGGTGGCAATTTCGTAATTAGTGAGAAGTCTCGTGGCGTTTA